TGTGCTTTTAATGATGTACTGTCTTAGGTGTTAATTTGTTTGTTTCCCCTCCCTTCGAGTTGTAAGCCGCCCTGAGTCCCCCCAGGGAAAAGGGCAGCATATAAATAAAGTACTCAAACTCAAACTCAGATTTCTACAGCAGGCTGTGTGAGGCACGAAAGTTCACAGCCTGCTGCAGCACCTCGTTGGTGGATGTGATTTATGACACAGACTGAAGGGAGGGGAGACACAGGGGTAAAGGTCAGACACCATTAACCAGAAATCAGATTTGGCTCCGCAGCCGAAAATGCCAAAATGTTGCTCCTAATAAATGACTGGATTTCTTTTGAACTTTGTCTCGAGGCTTGTAAATTAATTAGGTCCTCCACAGAGAGCCTCCTAGTCCCTCAGCTTCTTCTCCCCTTAAGTTGTCCTGTGTGCTCCAGGTGGGCTTTTTGGTGGCTAGGATGAGTGGGACTAACCTGTTGTGTCTTCCTCCCACACAGGTGCGCCTCTTTTCTTCTAGGTTGTGCCCAGCCAGCCGATCAAAATAGAGTCCTTCAAGGTGAAAGTTGACTTTCTGAAGGTGCCCCTCGGCCTAAAGAAGCCGACTCTGAAGGAGGCTGCGGCTGCCTTGGTGGCTGTCCCAGGGCCCGCCAGATCCAAGTCCATCAACGTGGATCGCTACAAGGGTCGGCGTTCGGACAACATGGACAACGAATCGCAATATTCAGGGTACTCTTATAAATCGGGGCACTCGCGCAGCTCCCGGAAGCCCAGGTGAGCCGGCCAGACGGGTTGAGTTTGGGGCAGGTGGAGGAGGGGCCATGGGGAAGATCTGGAGAGCCTTGGTAGAAGGTTGAGCAAGGGACCAAAGACGGACAGAGAGGATATCCAGTGGGATGCCTCCGGAGGTTGTGGGTGCTCCATCACTGGGGGTTTTTAAGAAGGGATTGGACCAGGCACATGTCTGAAATGGTGTTGGGTCTCCTACTTGAGCAGGGGGTTGGACTAGAAGACCTCTAAGGTTCCCTTCTGCCCTATGATTCTATGACAGTGTTTCTCAACCTTGGTGACTTTAAGTCCTGTTGGACTTCAACTCCCAGAATCCCCCAGCCAGCAAAGCTGGCTGGGGGATTCTGGGAGTTGAAGTCCACAGGACTTAAAGTCGCCAAGGTTGAGAAACACTGTTCTATGAGATGAATAAGATACATTGAGATAGGAGGGTAGGTAATTGGTAGATAGATAATAGGTAGGTGATGGATGGATAGGTAGATTATCCATCTATCCATTCATCATCTATTCATCCATCCATCACCTACCTATTTATCTATCTATCTTATCTATCTTTTCATTATGCCACTCATTTCTTTGAATATCCCAATTTTATAGCAATAGCAGTTAGACTTATATACCGCTTCATAGGGCTTTCAGACCTCTCTAAGCGGTTTACAGAGTCAGCATTTGGCCCCCACAGTCTGGGTCCTCATTTCACCCACCTCGGAAGGATGGAAGGCTGAGTCAACCTTGAGCCGGTGAGATTTGAACCGC